CACCAGTAAGCATAGAGACTCTTTAAATATTTCAAATATCACTTAGACTATTTTTGTATCATACTGATTAAAAATGGACTGGACCTGAGGTCCTGGTTAAAGTACTCAGCTCCCAACAGAAAAGACATCAGTTGAGCCCATCAGCTGCTCTGGAGGAGAAAGATGTGATAGTCAGTTTCTGAAAAGATTACAGCTTTGGAAACCCTTTGGGACAGTTCTACTTTGTCCTATAGAATTACAATGAGTCAGAATCAACTTGATAGCACTGAATTTGGTTTTGGTTTAAGATCCTGATATCTCATTTAAATGAAACTATTGGTCTCTTATTCATTCAAAATATATTGATATATAGGTATGGCACTGTGGACGACAAAACCAGTTTGAACCACAAGTTCGACAGTTCAAGCTCATCAGTGGTTCCTTGGAACCCCTATACAGGGTCACTATGTGTTGGAACCAACTCCACGGCACTCAACGACAACAACAATATACCAGCATTATAACACAGCAGTGAACAAAACAATGTCCCTTTCTGCATGTAGATTATTTGCTAATGAAGCAGCCTGACAAAAAACGAACTTGGAATGGTGACTTTGAAGAAGTCAAATCAAGCAGCATAAGGGGAAGAGAGGACAGGCTGTGTTAGTAGTGGACCCATGGATGGCCTCTCTGGGGAGCTGCCATTTAAATAAGATATCAGTTAAGCAAAGGAAGGAGTTACACAAATAATCTGAAAGAAGACGATTCCAGCATTAAATACAAAGGCTTTGATGTGGCTCTGTGCTGAGAAAGCCAGGGTCTGAGTTAATGAAGCCCGTGCAGTTTCTCACCACTGACTTTTTTGCTGGAAGAGGGTACCAGTCCCATGTGAGAGAGGTGCACAGAGGGGAGCTCCTGGTTCAATGTGAAGCCCTTCATTCTGAAGATGTACACTTTCACGTTTTCTCCGTATCTTTCCCCTTCCTAGTGACCCTGCTTTTTTCATCCAGATTTTACCTGGATTTGTTATTGTTGTTCTTAGGTGCCGTTGAGTTGGTTCTGACCCATAATGACCCATATATGTATAACAGAATGAAACACCGCCTGGTTCTGCACCATCCTCACGATTGCTGCTACTCTTGAGCCCATTGCTGCTGCCACTGTGCCAATCCATCTCTTTGAGACTCTCCCTCTTTTTTGCTGACACATTTTTCCAAGTCTGATGTCCTTCTCCAGGGACTGGTCCCTCCTGATAATGTTTCCCAAGTATGAGAGGTGAAGTCTGGTGATCTTGGCTTCTCAGAAGCATTCTGGTTGTATTTCTTCCAATACAGATTGTTTTTATTCTTCTGGAAGAAGCATTCTCCATTGTATCTTTAATATTCTTCTCCAACACCATATTCAAATGCATAAATTCTTCTACAGTTTCCCTTATTTACTGTCCAACTTTCACATGATGCATATGAGGTTATTGAAAATATCATGGCTTCGGTCAGGAGCACCTTAGTCCTGAAACTGACATCTTTGCTCTGGAACACTTTAAAGAGGTCTTATGCAGCAGATTTGCCTAATTCAATATGTCGTTTGATTTCTTGACTGGTGCTTTCATGAGGGCTGATGGTGGATCCAAGTAAAATGAAGTCTTTGACAACTTCAATCTTTTCTCCATTTATATAGATGCTATTTATTAGTTCATTGGTGAGGATTTTTGTTTTCTTTAATTGATGTGCAACCAGTGCTGCAGGCGGTGGTCTTTGATCTTCATCAGTATACAGTACTTTAAGGCTTCTTTGCTCTCAGCAAGCAAGGTTGTGCCATCTACATTCTGCAGGTTGTTAATGAGTCTTCCTCCAATCCTGGTGCCATGTTCTTCTTCATATAACCCAGCTTCTTGGATTATGTGCTCAGCATACAAACTGAATAAGTATGGTGAAAGAATACAACCCTGGTGCACACCTTTCCTGATTTTAAACCATTCATTGTCCCCTTGTTCTGTTAGACAGATGTTAATTATTGGCACCCCGGTGGATTGTTTAGTCTTCTGGGAATATGTAGACTTTATCCTCTTTCACTGCTGTATCCTCAGTACCTAGAATATTCTATCTGATGTGTAGTAGGTGAACAATATTTTTTAATTGATGGAACGCCTATAAGCATAATAGAAAGGCCCGAGACTAGCCAGACATCCTACAGACACAGATGTCTTGAGCCTTTACGTCCTAATGGAAACAAATAAAATAACAGTTTTAATCTATAAAGGCACTAAATTTATAGATGAGCATTTGAAGGCTGCATGATTTGGCAGAAGTTTTGGAAGTTGAGGGTAAAGGGATGCGATATTCAATATTACCAGTTGCATCCAAGAACCCTAAGGATAGACTGTAGACATGTATTTCCAGACTTTGAAGCAGTTGAAATCCTTTTTGGAATCACTTAGAGGCCCTGTCTCATAAAAACCACCACCACCACTAACTTCATTTTGAGCAATTGTTTATAGCTTTAATTCTGTATGTTAATCACTTCTTGACTGATGGAGAAATATTTACTCCCTGCTAGGTTGCTTTCTGCAATGGAGAGGACTGCATCTTTAGAGAACATGCCTGCTGCATTTTCTCTTTTTGAACATTATGATGATAGCGCTGCAAGAAGTGACCAGATGTTAAAACAAGTGGCTGGTAAGAATTTTAATGTATGAATTATCTTGATGAAATTCCACAGGTCTTGCTTGGTTGTTTTGCAAAGTTTTTGAATGTAAGGAGATCAATGAGAAAAAAAAAGGTCTTGGTTGTCAAATTTTTAAAACTCGATTCTGAAATAAAGCACAGGATTAGCACACTCCTGTAGTTATTCACTGTGCTTCCCTTTGAAGCTTGATGGTTTTGCTGGGGTACTGTGGAGGAAGCAGCCATAGAATCAAAGGGTTTCTTCTTTTTTGTTCTTTGCCTTTAAAGTAGGATTTCTCTCCCTTTCTTTTAGACATTATTTGCTTCATGCCAGCAGCCAGCTTTAGAAGGAAAAGTAAATCAAATATTTTTATATGTGTCAAAGAGACTTTTTCTTAGGACGTTTCCCCCCATCTTCAATTCAGTTCTTCTTCCTTTTTTCAAAGATAACAGATTAGCTTAAAGAACTAACAGCTCAGCATCATGCTTTATAGCTGGGAGCCTCCCACTCAACTGTCAAAAGCATCCTGCCAGCTCTTCAAAATATTTTTTAATGTGCTGTTTTAACAAACAAGACAATGAAATTTATTTAGATTTCTCAAAGCTACTGTGTTTTAGTAAAGTTACAGTTACCGTACAATGAACTCAGATGTTCTCCTTAAAAGATACTATATTCTATCAAGACCACCTTAAAGTCTTAAAAGCTTAGAAAAACAGTTTTTTAATGAGCAGTTGACTATCAATTCTGTAGGAGTAGTATTAGTTTAGTAAGTGGTGAAAAGGCTACTGTGTCTTTAAAAAAGAGAGAGAGAGGAAAAAAATAACCCATATAAAATGAAAAAAATCAGTCATTTATTCTAATGGATTTTCTCTAGAAATGTCTCAAAACAAAGGATGTCTTCTTGTAATGTCTCCAAGAGGCTTTCAAATAGAGCAGTGATTGCTCGCTAAGAAATTCATATTAACAGAGCAGATCTGTTACTTTTAGATGCTGTAGTTCATTTACAAAGAGTAACTTTTGAATGTCTGTCAATGAGAGGGCAAGGAGAAGTCAATGAGAGGGCAATGAGAGGTCATCTTATGTTTTTTTGGAGCTCCTAAGGAGCTCTGGTAGCATAGTGGTTACGAATCGGCCTGCAAACCTCAAGGTCAGCAGTTTGAAACTACCTGCTGTTCTGTGGGAGAAAGATGAGGCTTCCTGCTCCCATAAAGATTTACAGCCTCGGAAACCCTGCACAGGGTCACTATGAGTCTGAACCGACTCCATGGCACATAACCACCATCACCAAAGTGTTAATGACTAAGTCAGAGGTCTTCCATATGGCAGACCTAGTGGTTGGAGAATGCTTATGGAGAGACTGGTCTCAGAGAGACCAGCTGCTGCTTGTGTTAACACAGAACTGGAGCCTAGGGTATTGATTTGCTGCTGCACGGTTATTGTTCATTTTGTGACTACCACTGACTGTCACATAGAACATCCTCACCTGGTGTCTGACAAGTGAATCTGATCACTCCCTAAACTAAACAGAAGAAAGGATGTGGCACCGTGGAAAGACTGTTAAGTATGTCATGTCATCTAATCTCACAATGTCTTGGAAGAACAGCCAGAATGATCTTTGGAAGCAAGGAAGGTGAGACTCTGTCTCTTGTACTTTGGGCATATTTATCAGGAGAGACCAGTCCCTGGAGAAGGACCTCATGCTTGGAAAAGTGAAGAATAGTGAAAAGTTAGGAGATGGATTGACACAGTGGCAGCAACAAAGGGCACACACATAAAGCAATTGTGAGGATGACATGGAACTAGACAATGATTTGTTGTGCACCTAACAACAACAAAAACAACAATCTCACAACTATCCTAGGAGGAAGGTTTTATTATTATTTCCATTTGATGTGTTATTGTTGTTAGGTACCATTGAATCAGTACCAACTCATGCACAACAGAACAAAACACTGCCCAGTCCTGCACCAACCTCACAATCATTGCTACACGTGAGCTCCTAGCTGCTGCCACTGTGCTAATCCATCTCATCGGGGGTCTTCCTCTTTTTTTCCCCGACCCTTTGTTTTACCAAACATGATATCCTTTTGCAGGACTGGTCCCTTCTGATAGTATTTGCCTAATGCTATACATCGTTTGGAGTCCTGGTGTGGCACTGTGGGTTAATGCACCACACTGCAAAGTCGTTTGAACTGCAAGGTCAGTGGTTCAAGCTTACCAGCTGCTCCTCGGAAACCCTATACAGGATCTCTATGGGTTGGAATCGACTCAACAGCACTTAACAATAACAACAACATGCATTGTTTGGAGTACTGGTGTACTCCACTGTGGGTTAATGCACTGGACTGCAAGGTCACTTTGGACTGCAAGGTCGGTGGTTTAAGCTCACCAGCTGCTCCTTGGAAACCCTATATAGGGTTGCTATGAGTCAGAACCGACTCTACAGCACTTAACAACAACCTACATCATTTGATTTCTTGGCTGCTGCCTGCAAGAAAATCCAACATCTTTGGTTGATAGTGGAAACAAGCAAAATGAAATCTTTGACATCTTCAATGTTTTCTTCATTTATCATGATGTTACTTATTGGTTCAATGGGGGTGATTTTTGATTTCTTTACGTTGAGGTGCAAGCTATGTTAAAGGCTGTGAGTAAGAATGGTAAAAGGATATAATTCTGGCACACACCTTTCCTGATTTTAAATCATTCCGTATCCCCTCGTTCTGTTCAAATGATTGCCTCTTGGACTATGTATAGGTTCCTCATGAGCACAATTTAGTGTTGTGGAATATGCATTCTTTGCAATGTTATCCATTATGATCCACATGGTCAAAAGCCTTTGTCTAGTCAGTAAAGCACAAGTACACACCTTTCTAATATTCTCTGTTTTCAGCCAAGATCCATCGGACATGTAGGCTTTTAAAAAATTGTAAGCTTTTAAAAATTGTGTTTAGTAAAATTTTACTTGCATGTGATATTAATGATATTTTCTGATGATTTCCACATTCTGTTGGGTCACCTCTCTTTGGAGAAAGCACAAATATGGATCTCTTCCAGTCAGTTGACTAGGTAGCTGTTTTTAAATTTCTTGGCATCGATGAGTGAGAACCTTAAATGCTTTGTCAGTGTGTTGAAGATTTCAATTTATATTCCATCAGTTCCTGGAGCCTTGTTTTTCTCCAATGCCTTCAGTGCAGCTTGGACTTCTTCCTTCCCTACCATTGATTCTTGATTATATGTTACCCCTTGAAGTGGTTGAACATCATTGACCATTTCTTTTTGGTACAGTGACTTGTGTATACCTTCTGTCTTCTTTTGATGCTTTCTGCATCATTCAGTAGTTTGCCCATGTGTTGAGTGGAAATCTTTGGATTCTGACTCCATGTTCTTACATTTATGTATATCTACTGCTTAGATCATCTGATATGTTGTCTAAAGAAGGTATTTGAAATGAACAAATCATTGATTTTGCAGAATTCTATCATGCGATCTCCAGCATCATTTCTATCACCAAGGCCATATTTTCCAACAACTGATCTTTCCTCTTTGTTCCCAACCTTTGCATTCCAATCACCAGTAAAGATCAATACATCTTCATTGCATGTTTGATCAATTTCAGATTGAAGAAGTGGGTAGAATTCTTCTATTTCATCCTCACTGGCTTTAGTGGTTGGTGTGCAAGTTTGAATAATAGTGGTATTAACTGGGCTTCCCTGTTGTTGTTGTTGTTGTTTAGTGCCGTCGAGTCGGTTCCAACCCATAGCGACCCTGTACAAGGTTTCTGAGGCTGTAAATCTTTACGGCAGCAGAAAGCCTCATCTTTCTCCCGTGGAGTGAGCTGGTAGTTTCGAACTCCTAACCTTGCGGTTCAGAGCCTGATTCGTAACCACTACGCTACCAGAGCTCCCCTGTAGGTGCATGGATATTATCTTATCACAGACAGCGTGGTACCTCATGACTGATCTGGATATGTTTTTTTTGACAATGAATGCAACACCATTCCTCTTCAATTTGTCATTCCTG